TATATATATAGCCAAAAAATACCGGAAAACCTGCCAGAAATGCAGCAGACTTCCTGCACAAATCTCCAGCAGTGTTATCGGCCCTGCCCAGTTTACCTTTGAATAACCCCCCTCCTATGTTATTGAGGCAATGAGAGGGGAAGGTGTTTTATGTGGTTTGAATGCACTTCATGTGCTAAGGTGACAATGCAGTACCTCCATAGATGCAGCACAGTGAGGAAGTGTGTTACTGGCAGGATGATTAGGTATAAATAAAGGAAAAAACCTAAAAAACAAAACTAATGCAGCTAACACATCTAAGGTTTGGTAAGCTGCTATTAATAAAAATGTTTGTTCTTGGACTTTATATCCAACCCTAAATAGCCATCTCCTTACAATTACCCATCTGTTTTTAACCAAAAAAACAATTTAAACAACTGACTCAAGACAACTGATTTTAATAGCTGTAAGACAACAGAACAATCCACTGAGATACAATTTATTTATTTCATTATCTTTATTTGCCGAGTGTCTAAGTGCACAATAATGATGTACATGTAACTATTTTACAGCACAAACACATTCCATCTCCCAGACAGCCCTTCCACTCCCTGCATTCTGATTGGTCCAGGTACAGGAATTTCACCATTCAGAGCATTCTGGCAACAAAGATTATATGATCTGGAAAATAAAGGTATGACTCGTGAATGCTGAATAAAATATTAGTAACGTTATTCTTATCATAAAATTATATTTCAGATAGTTGGGTAATAAAGTTCCCTCCATGATCACATTAAGACTAATTGGGGATCAGTTCTAGAACCTGGAGCAAATCATTTAGTGCTGCTGTTCTCAACAAACATTATTCTGTTAAATTTCATTATTCTACCTGCAAGAGAATAAAGGCTTATGATAGCAGCCATAAACGCACAAGCATGCCTTTACACTAGTTATTTTACCACAATCCACAATACAGTATGAAATGCACAGGGCTGTCAGAAGCTTTTAAGGAAATGTATGGCCCATTCATACTATTGTGTTGTGACCTATAGAGCGCATACCACATGGTAATAGGAGTGACTTCACCTGCATTGGGGTCCACTAAAAATGAATGGGCTGCAGTAACGCAGCACACCTTAGTGTACAATAAAGTGCATTGCAGTGCATGCATTAACAAAACACAACCTCAGTGTTCTTTTAGATAGTTTCAATCAGCGTCAATCACGCAAAGCCAGCCATAAAGCAAGTTGCTATTGCTACATAGCTATACCATTGTGGTCTGGGAATCCTTTGTTATTAAAAGTTTATTTGTACAACAAAAAATATATACTTTGTAAAAAAAATATATGTTGTAAAAAACTAGTTAAAAGCAGATAAACTTATAAAACTAAACATTTTACTCCCTTTAATGCAATAAAGAAAATATGGAAGTATGTAACAATGTAAAAAAAAAAAAAACCCCTTCAAATAATATGTGTTTCATTGAAGACTCTTTAATTAAACAGAGAGAATAATACACTAGCAACTATCTACAGGAATAAAAAATCTGATCTATTGCTCAGGTTACACTGACCTGATCAAAGCTCATTTTAGAATGGTTGCAGTACATTGCCCTTTCCATTATCATTAATGAAAATCCACAATGAGAAAATGGAGGGGCTGCCACTGTTGTCCTGTCCTTTTGAAAATACTGGTTGCTACGCTATCATGCAGACCCATAGGTTTCAATACTTTTAGTCCTAAACAAATTTGTAGAGCAGGATTCAGACTTATTCTGGACCAGTGACCCAAAATACTGAAGTCACAGATATCCAGGGGACTAGCCTATTCAGAAGATGTCAGAAATTGCACTCTGTGTGTTCAATAAATCTAGTTGGCCCCATTTTGTCTATTCTTGTTATCTTTTGGTATTGGAATAATAAATCAATACATACAGACACGTACAATGAAAACTCCAGCACTGCCACATGTTTCCTTCATGAGGGCCGTACACAGGGCTGTCCCTATAATGAGACAGTCTGAGGTGGTTGCCTCAGGCATCATCTGATTGGGGGAGGCTGGTTGGGAGGAAGGGCATCAGGGGGGCGACCACAGCATCCCAGATTGGCAAGAGCTCTTAGCAACCTGTGACGCTCTGTGTGGCTTTCTGCCCAGCTCACTGATGTCACCAGTTGCCAGGAGCTGAGCGGGACTTCAAGCTCCTGGCAATCAGTGAGCTGAGTGGGATGCCGGACAGAGCATTTGACAGGTTGGTCTGGATTTCACCCCCCCCGGGCCGACAAATCGTAGAGTGCACCCCCCATTCCCCAACAATAGCCTGAGGTGGCAGAAACTATAGGGACAGTCCTGCATCTACATATGCTGTATCTATTACCTGTCAATATTGATCTAATTATATATGATTGGTTTAATCACAGGATCACAGGGAGGCTCAATGATACTGCTGTCTGGTTGCCAGCAATCCACTGATGAAATCTACAAAGAAGAAAAGGAATACATGAAAAGCAGAGGCATTTTAAAAGATGTATTTACTGCATATTCCCAGCAACCAGGGCAAGATAAGGTACGAAATAAAAAGATCACCATCACAGTGATTGTGTTTTTCCTGAATGCTATTCATTAGTTATTGTCTGTCTTTGTATCTTTGCTATTGTATTTAATATCATCGTATATACAAATGAAAGCGTCAGTCCCCCCAAAAGTTAAATATTTCGTTATATTTAGCCTGGTGTCTTGGTTCATTAGTGAGATCTCCTTGACATAATTCCTGACTCTGTTCCTGTCATCCTCTGAGTTTTGGGTGCTCCAGTCTGTCATTGCATTCTCCATAATTTAAATTAAAAAGGAACTCCGGGAATCGCACAGGGTCCCCTTCATCAGGCTCAATAATTACATCATAATGGGTCATTATTGAGCCTGATGAAGGGGACCCTACGTGGCCCCGAAAGCACTTGTCTTTTTGGCATCTATCAATAAAATGGATTTGCACTGACATGAATCTCCGTATTGGAGTGCTGGTGACATTTGCATTTGTTACTAACTAACACCCCTTCTCCAGGATCGCATCTTTTACACAGAATTTTTTTTTTTTCCTGGTCCTAACTAGGCTAAGAGTATTTTGACAATATGCACCTTAGATGAGATCACTATTACTACTTATGACTAAAAAAAATGTGTGGCCCGTATATGTTGCCTAGTGCCAATTGGAGCCCATAGAAGAAGACAGGTTTTGGTCTAGGGATTACGTCATTAGGTTACCTATAGTGCTTTTCAAGAGTCAAAGTCATTAGTATAAGAATATTCTCCTACAAGACACTGTTGCCGATGCATTCTGATTCTTGCCAAGTACCACCTACAGTAGAGACAAGCTCTACCAATTGTCATAGCCTAAACGTTCTGAAACACTGGTTCATTAGTCTAAAGGGAGGATGTCTGATTGGTTGTTGGGCATCACTGCTCACCATTTCTCTTGTAATTTAATTGTAAACAACAGGCCTGTAGCACAGAATAAATTCTCATTTTATTGCACATTTGTGTTTTCTAAAGCGCTGTGTTTATTCTTAGACCTATGTTCAGGACATTCTGAGGAAGCACCTTGTGGATGATGTCATCAGGATTGTCTTCAAAGAAGAAGGACACATTTATATTTGTGGAAACATTGAGATGGCCAGAGATGTGGGAAAAACAATTAAAATGATTATTGCAATGAAGAAGGGACTGAATGAGGAGGAAGCAGAAAACTATATTTCCCAGCTAAAGGTAAGCTACATCTTAGATCTTACATCTTAAAGTAACTGATGAATGAAAATAACCTAATGCAGGAACTACAATGGATAGACATTTTCTTTAGTAGGCTGACGACTAAAGTTGCCATCTTTGTTCTGGTAAAATAAGGGACAGCAGGTGGAGTAGGCGGTGAAGTAGTGGGTGGGGCTTATAGCAGTGCGCACAATGCGCCAAGCTGAACTGTATTTGATGGGTTGTTGGGCACTGACATCTGGATGATGATATCACCCTCTCCTTGGTGCTGCAGGGGAAGTCCCTCTTTCAAATGAGGAGCCCCCCTTCACATCAGAAACCCCCTATTCACATTAGAGTCCCTTCCTTTTTACATGAGAGCTCCCCCTTCACATTAGGATCCCCTCCTTTCACATCAGAGTCCTATCTTTTCACATAACAGTCTCCAAACCTTTACATTAGGAGTCCTCCTTCACATCAGAGTCCACACCCCTCACATCAGAGTCCCCCATTTACATAAGAATACCCATTTCACATCAGAGTGCCTCCTAGACATCAGGAGCCTTCCTTTTATGGCTGAAAAGTCCATAAGTCACAACATGCAGTGTGCACTGATCCATAGACATCAGAACATCTAACGTGTCTTTCATTCACCCATAGAACACAAATAAGGTCTGTAGCAAATAAGGGCCCATGAGGTCTGTACATCATAAAAATGGCCAGATCTCTGTTCCAAGTAGCCACAGGTGTTGTCTATTGCCTGCCTATGTAGATGAATAACATGGTGCAGCTGTATGCTGGTAAACACTGCTCCAAGTTTATACTAGCTTACAACTACAGATGTACATCCCTGGGTGAAGGGTGTCTGTGTGCAGGGGCATACATCTGAACCTGAACGAATGTACACATGAACCAACGTTTACCAGCATGAAGCTGCAGCCTTTGATTTGTACAGGCGGGCTGTACGCAAAACCTGTGGCTTCCAGGTGCAGAGATCCAGCTGGTTTTTATGGTTCACAGACCTCTGTGCCTGTATTAATAAGCCCTACATCTGACCGTTGATACATCAAACAGATGGAAGAAATCTATAAGGGTGTGGCCAGCTTAAAGGAGAACTATGAGGTGAGTGCATTTCACTCACCTCATAGTTCTAGCCGACCTGTGACAATGAGACTGTCACAGGTCGGCTCAGTAGATTGGGAGGGGAGCGAACACATACCGGCGTTCGCTCACCTCTAGATCCTATCACGGCTCTCTGCCGTGACAGGGGAGGGGCTGGATTCCCCCCCTCCCCGCTCCAATCCAAATCTCAGAGCTGCCCATTAATAAATGAACCCTTCTGATAAAGTAGCAGCCAGACCTTTTCCACTGTCATTCATTTTGTTTAATTGTCATTTTGTCAGTGGCTGCTAAACATTCCTTTGTTAATTATCACTATCACATCCTTTGCAGAGTCCACATATCATATGTGCTATTACAAATTGCCACATTTCAACACAGTGAAGCTGGCCCACAATGTTATATTTTTTCCTATTTATAACAGATTCCTGCTGTGTATTTGTATTCTGACAGTGCGAGTGTGCTGTTGTCAGACGACCCAAACAATGATGGCAGCTGATTGGCTGCCATCACTGTTCACCTGAAAATTTTCCATCCAGGTCCTTAGATTTTCTGATTGAAGGATGCCGGACAAAGAGGTGCTGAAAATGGCATCCACTGTGCGATTATCGGCTGGTTCATCAAGAACAGGCTAAAATTTGCACGTTGTATGGCCATCTTTACACTGTCAGAAGCCAGAATGTCATGCTCTCCAAAATATCTTCTGAATTCCAAAGCTGTAGACCCTCCTGAAAAAGCAGGTTACATCAATATGCACCATACGTTGCCCGTCAGAGAGATTTGGCAGTAGAGAGAGCATGTGCACAGTGATGCTCATAAATACTGATGCTGGCCATGTACCCAGTGGTGTATTTTGGTTTTGTGCTGCCCTAGGCAAGACTAAACCCGGACACCACCCTCAATCTAAATTTTCCCCACCCCTTCCTGTTTAGGACATTTTGTGCAACCTGTCAGATACAGCGCACACGGGGTCTCAGGAGAGCTGTACATGGTCTCAGGTGGGCTGTGCATAGTCCCTTTCCCTGCATACATGTGCTGCTCCTCTTACCTGCAGCTCGAAGTGTCATCAGTACCAACAGTATACATTGCAGTCCCCAGCCTGCTTCTGGGATATCCCGCCATCAGATCACATGCTATGGCCAGCCCCGAGCCACCCGCTGCTTCTCCCCCACGTCCTGTACAAAGCCAGCCAGACCGCATCTCACCGGACCCTCCCCTCCACCGGACAGCTCTCTAATTAGGCAGCCGCTCTGAAGGCTGCCTAGTTTGCCTCATTAGGCAGTCACCGCTGCCTGATTCTGTGCCGCCCAGCCTCAGCCCACTGGGCAAGTGCCCAGTATGCTCAAGGGCAAGTCCGGCCCTGTCCACCTCATTGGTTTGGGTGCCGTTTTCTGCCGCCCCCCTGGAAAGTGCCGCCCTAGGCAAATGCCTAGTTTGCCTTGCAGTAGATACACCCCTGCATGTACCACTACCAGTGATACACATTCACAATTCGTGAAACAGGCTTAGATCAAAAGACCAACACTCAATTATTTCAGCATAATGTACAACAGCTGTGTTCTGTGCCTAGAAATATCAAATGAATCCTACGTTTAGAACACAAAGAGTGATCACAATGTCTTGATTTTGTTTGCTTTGCAGCATCAAATGCGTTATCATGAAGATATATTTGGAGCAGGCTACAAACATCTACAACTTCAGAATGGAGCCTGAATTTCAGCCAGCGGGGCTCCTGACACATCTTTTTTTTTAGACCTAAACAGAATGTAATTGAAGAAAATCTGAAAAGTCAATGTGCTACAACCTTAGATAAATATAGCATGATGAAAAGTTAAATGCAATGCACATTATTCTGGAATCATTCAAGATTTTCATCAACAATGCGGAGAACAAGAAACCAAAGTCAACAAATGAGAAACTTTGGTGAAATCAGGATCCATGATGAATCTGTTCATTGAACTTACTGATGGAAATTTGATCTTAGTTTACCAATACTAGAGACATTACAGACTACCTAACTGCTCTACACCTAAGAGTATTTCCTATACCACAACATTTATGTTTAAAAAATTGTATTCAATATGTTTTGTATGGAGTTTTTAAAGCAAATCTTTTGGAGGCAATATAGCAAAACATGGACTTCAAGTCAAGCATAACTTTAAAAATAAAACATCAGTCTTAAAAAAGGACTTCTCACCCAACGCTGAGGACTGCTATGCGTTTTACAAGGATTTTAGCAGTCTTTTCTTTTGTAGAATCCTAATGTGAGATCCCGCAGGGAGGATCAGTACTTGCCAATCAGTGTAGCAAAATACCGCTCCTAAACGTTGCTCATATTTCACAAAAACTGCTTTGTGCATGCCTGGCTTAAAGTTAATGTATCTGTATCTTAGTCTGTAACGCTATGTTACTAACTACATAAAAAACACTAACAGGCTTACTTAGCAGTGCCGAGTTTAGCAGTAATATGTAAAGTGCAGAAACCCATGGCAACTGCACAGCTTTCAGTTTTCTAAAGTCAGATCAGTGAAAAGGAATTGTGATGGGTTTGTTATTGATTTCTATACCCAGCTCTTTCCTTTAGTACTTCAGCCAGCACTTACTGATTTAAACTTGTAACAACATTTGTGTTGAAGATAAGATGTTTACAATATACAGAAAATCTTAGGTTATTGGTCCAAACCTGAGCTCCTCTTAACCTGGAAAGAACATGGGGCCACCCGCCCAATCAGCTGCAAGTAAGGACATTCCCCGTCTTTTGGCTGTACATAAGAAAATGGGCGGGATGTTAGTGCAGACATTGAATGTCATTGAGCAATTATAGCCATATGGCCATATAAGGTCAATTACATCACCGCATCCTGCTTCTTTACTTACCTCCCGCCTGTAGCTGATTGGGCAGCAGAAAAAGGAGCTTCCTTCCAGGTTCAGAGGGGTTTAGGTTGGGACTAGATTCAGGACAAACCGGGTCTTATCCCTGGTTATAATCAGACATCTTGCATAAAGGTGTTGTCACGCAGTCTCCATAATATTATCTTTTTGTAACTTACAGAAATCTTACTGGGTTTTTTTTTTGTCACAAATTACAAATTAGAACACTTTATAGTTTGTTTAGTAGTAATATTAATAGTAACACTGTGTAAATAATGTGAATGAATCTTATTTATATAACTATAATTTTTATAATTATATTACTTTATTAATTTTTATTGATTTGTAGAAACAATATATTTTCTTCTCTTTTGAAGAAATCTATAGAGAGCAATTTAGAAACTACCCTAGAGACCAGCAGCACAATTAAGGTACAGACTTTGACTGAACAGATTTGTTCAGTTTTCTAGTGATCAGATAGAACAATAATATGACTATGGGTAAGCTGTATTGTTGTGTGATTTTATTGCAGTTACACAAAATTCTCAGTGCTATAAAAAAATGTTCAACTATATTTATATCTCATAACTTTCTCACTGATTTTCATTGGGATGATTATTGGTCTACTTACAGCCATTCACACTGCAATATGGGACCAATTAGAACTACGGTCAACTGCCAACAATCTAAGCCTAGACAAAGAATATTTTTTTCATACTCTAGTATTTAATTGCTGTTTATCAATTCTTTTTTAAATGAACTATATTTTTAATGTTTATAAAAGGACTCTTTACTGTTGTATTTCTATTGTTTTTATAAACATTTTAATTGCAGGAATGATTTTCCATAATCATCTTTTGACACATAAGTAACAGCAATATAAAACACGGGAGCTGCACTACTCTCATTTAGTTTTCAAAATATGATTAATAAAACAATTTTGGGGCAGAGGACAGGGAACTTAGTCCTATTAATTTAAATGCTATATTCTCCAGAAATTGGTTCATGCCTTTAAATTGGTGGCTCAGCTGTGGTAACTGTGCAGATCAACTGCTAATTCCCTAGAAAGCAGATTCCCTAGAAATATAAAACATGATTGGTTGCTATATTGAACAGGACCACTCTCCTGCAGCTTTTTAATTGAACTACTTTTTTTCTGAATCATTCCCAGCCTTCTCACAGAGACTTTCACAGCACTATGAAAAAAGAGATGTTTAAAGTAAATGTTACCACAAATTTTATTTTTCAGATATGTGTCTGTGATATCGTGTACTTTTATGAGAAAATAGCCTGTTCTCTTCGTATCGCTTCGTGTGCTATAAAATACCTGGTGATCCTGCTAGTCCCACTGCTCTAATGTTTTAATCTGACCACACCAGGTACAGAAGCAAATCTGTCCCAGAGTTGTCAGTTTACACCCCTGCTTTCTACTTGGAAGCTATAGGATGCCATGCCTATGCCCAGCATTGCTGTATAATTCCTCATTACAAGGAGAGACCAGTACGCATCTCTCTCTGCCTTCTGCATGGGAGGCGCATGCGTGCCTGTACTCCGGTCAAACTACTAATGCTATGTCCCCCTTGCCCAACCCTGCACTGTTTGTGTGACAGCAGCTGGGAAAAGTAATATCCAATAATTTCCACCCCCTATCCCTCTTGTAGTGATCCCCCTCATTGTAGGCTTCATTCTGGGTGCCATTGGATGAGTAGTGGGAGGAAGAAAGGGAGTTTTTTTGCAGTTTTTTTCCCAAACGCCACTGCAACAGCTGCGCTAGTGTGAATGAAAAATGCTCTAGCTGACAGCAACTTGGCTGGTCCAGTTGCACAGCTTCTGATCCTGACAACCCCAAATAAAACCTGCATTGAGTATAATATGTGAACTGCTGTCGATGACCTCCTTGTGAAAATTCTACTTGTCTGGTTGTCCCTGAATCCAATATTTTCTGAGTTTCTGACCTGTAACAAGCATAGAGCAGATAAAGCCACAGTGCAGCCTATCATTCTGATCTGAATCCTTCTGGTCCAGTAAAAGTCATCAAAACACCATAACAGCCAGGTAAATAGCATTTTCATGGGAAGTCAGCATTGGCAGCCATGGTATATAGCTCAGTACATGTTTCCTTTAGATTTTGACCAAATGTGTACTTTGATATTTATAGTGTACAATAGTATTCTGCAATGTATCTGAATTTTATCAGAACCGGTATTATTGTATGTAATCGTTTTTCTGAATTATTCATTGACAAATACTGGAAAAGTAGCTTACATTTTTCGACAAATGTACAGAACATATATTTTAAAATCATAAGGACTTGTATTATATATATATGAAGGCTATTTAATTAAAGAAAATACAGTTACTGATAAGGATAAGTAATGTGGATCATTTCATATCTAACAAAGTAATGTGATTTAGTAATAAACAGACCTTATGTTATATTTGTCTGGTGGTCATTTCTCAGCTTTTGTTTTATATGCATTTTCTCTTTTGTTTTTTTTTAGACATGTATGCAAATGTACAAAACTGTATTCCATTATATATAGAGTGTATATATCTATATAGATATATCTATATATCTATATATTTCCTGGCCATATCCATGGCAGCGCTGACAAATGGGTTAGCTCCTATTTCCCCTAGGCAACAGGAACAAAAAAGGGTTAAATATCAACCCCCTTTGCCCTATATAAGCCCCTCCTTAACCTGAGTTCCCTGTCTTTTTTTGTTCCTGTCCCCCTAGGGCAGGTAGTTTAGCTTGGATCTTTCCTTTATGGGAAGATGTTTGCTTTATTTGGCTGTTTGTTTGTTTCCTTCATATGTGGTTTACCGCAGGGAAGTTCACCAGTGGGGTTACAGTCCCTTCCCCTGCGAGGCTCCCAAGTCTCGGCCCCGGGCTAGGGTGTCCCCTTGAGGAGGTTGAAAGGCATCCCCAGTACCTGCAAGAGGCCGGCGGTGACCCGAGGGGTAGCGGCCGTGGTGTGGGAGCCATGGACTTCAAGGACACAGGTAGGCTCTGGTGGCTATGGATGCCTTACGTGTCCTAGGAGGCTCTGTATGCTTCCCTGTTCCCTTCCCTGGCAGCAGTGTTCCGGGATCCCCTCTCTCTGCCGGCTCTCTCTCGGCTTGCGGGCGCCGAACTGAGGGCAGAGCTGTATGGGCATTCACGGCTTCGCCGCTCCTTTGCGCATGCGCGAACGGGGGCCGTGACTTCATCCCAGCTCCGATTTTCGGCGCGAAATTCAAAAAATAAAAAATCAGAAAGTCATCGAGGTAGTGCAACACCTTCTGACAACGAGCGAGCTCCTCCAGAATCTAGTGCAGGGCCTGGGCGAACCTATCAAAGAGCCAAGGGCTGCTCTTGGACCCGAAAGTCAACCTGGTGATGAAGTAATACTTCTCCCTCCACCTGACCCCGTGCCACTGCCACAACGACTGTTGGATAGGCAACCTCCCACAGTCCACTGTGGGAGGGTCTGCCAGAGCCGACCCCAAGTTACCGCACTCGTGGGTCGTCTGTGGCAGCGTGACGAAGCCAGTGTGGAAACCGGTGGAAAAACCGCCACCCAGAAATTCCGCCAACGATGGTTCCGGATGCAAGGACAAAACAGACACCAAAGCATCCACATCCACCAGGCTTAGTCACGGAGTCTGCATGTTCCTGACCGAGCACGCGGTCCTCGGATGGGCCCTGAAACAGGTGGAGCAGATATGCAGCAACCGACACTGCGGATAGTTACACGACTTGAAGTTGTACTTATTGCATATCTGGGCCTTGCCCAAGCAGCGTATGGGCCTGCCAAACTTGTCGACCGAAGCAGACGTTGGGCCGGGCAGCAACCCAG